ATTTATTTTTTTTTGTGACAGCAGTCGAGAAGGAATTGCCAAAATATTAATATTCTTGGTTTATTTTAAAATGTGTTTCTACAAATTGAACAGGCTGTGGTGAAATCCCCATCCCTGTAAAAGTTCAAAAATGTGTACATGTGGCACTTGGGGACGTGGGTTAGTGGTGAACTGGGCAGTGCTGCAGAATAGTGGGACTCAGTGAATTTAGAGTCTTTTTCCAACCTTAATGATTCAATGAAATATGGCTAAAAACAAAACAAAAAAAACCACCAAGCAGGTGTTTTCAGCTATGAAATGACAATACCCTGGGCACAGTCACCTCTGCTCTCCTTGCTCTAATGAATGTTTATGTTTTTTCTTTCAGTTTCTCAGAGACACCCCAGACCCCCCTGGCCAGGGGGGAGGATCATTGAAGCAGTGTCTGTGGTGGGGTCTCCTCCCACCTACAACGTGTCCTGGGGGGTGGCTGGCTGTGGTGCCAGTCTGCCCCTTCTCTCTCCGAGGTAGGGACAGTGAGCAGCTCATCTCAATACCCTGTAACTCCTCTTAGAGGTCCCCCAGTGCATCTGGAGCTGGCTGCCAGCTGGGCTCAGCTGCTGGAAACAGGAGGTGCTTAAGAAGTTTGAGATAACTCGGGGTGTCAGATGTCTGTGGGTCACCAAGGTGTGGTGTGGGATTGGAAGGAAATCTAAACCCTTCTGGAACAGTGGATGAAAATCATCCAAAGGTGTCTCCAAAACACTGTTAATGACACCAATTCCCACATTAGACACTGGAAGTCCACCTTGGGTGTCCTTGTTTGCTGATATGAGGTTTCTGTTCCTCCCAACAGTGACAGGAATTGGAGCCATGGGCTATAACTAGATCAGATCTACAGCAATTAAGATGGATGAAACTTTTCAATGGGAATTTTCACAACAGGCACAAATATACTTTTTTTTCCTTGAACTTATATTTATTTTTTTTTTGTGACAGCAGTCAAGAAGGAATTACCAAAATCTCTATATTATATTATATTATATTATATTGGTTTATTTGAAAATAAACTGTAACATTAAAGTTTTGCACCGGCAGAAAATAAGTCCTGTAAAAGTTGGGTTATATCCAGCTGAATCAAAGATAGTATCTTAAAATAAACCACCAAAGGTAGGGACAGGAATGAAAATACAGGGGGATGTTTGTGGTGGTTGAAGTGCATAACAAGAGGTGTAACTAATAGGAAGAGGGAAAATTTTTACTCCTTTGTGGAGCCTGAAGACTGACATTGGAATGCTGCAAATAACACTGATGACTATATTTTCCATAAATTTAGAAAAAATAGGGGGAAATGCCATAATAATCATTAGGGAGCTGAGGAGAATGCCTAGAAGAGGAGGATTTAAGATGCTCCACCTGTTTAGCTAATTTAAAAAAAAAGGATTAAGAAGCAGTTTGATCACAATACCTCTCACCAGGATTAAAAAAGGTGCTAGACCCAGATAGACTTTTCCATCTCACTCAGGAAGGTATCAGAGAAAAACAGGAATCAGCACAAGCTTTAAAAATGGGTGAGCTGAGCACTGTCTTTAGACATCTTCAAAATAAACCTGCCTCTTTCTCTTTGCTGAACACAGGCTGTGACCTAATCCAATACAACTCCTACCCCTGTCAGAACAGGAATATTGGCTAAAATCTTGTACCAGCTGTACAAAGTCTCAGTGATCCTTTTGGTTTTGTTTCGTGGAATTTGCTCTGCAAAAGCCTTTTGTTATTCAGACATGTAACACACGGTGGCATCGTTGTACCACAGAGGCTCATTTTCCTTTGAAACACGAGAATTTTAGTGGCGGAGGAGAACAGCGTTTTAACTTTTAGGAATTGGGCTTTGGATGAACTTGAATTATTCCAATCCAGATGTGGTGTCTGGGGGTATGGTTTAATGGGGGACCTGGTAATGCTGGGTTAAGGACTGGGCTCCATCTTAGGGGTCTTCTCTATCCTAAATGATTGTACAATATGAAATCTCACTGCAATTCAGGGGACTTGGCAATTTCATGGGCTCGAGGAGATTACAGTGTGAAGCAGGAAATATTTTTTGCTTTGCTGTTGCAGATGCTGTCCAGGCTGCATTGAGCTGGTTCTTCAGAAACACCAGTACTGGGGTAGCACTCCCTGGTGCTTGATGGTGTATAAATTATTTCTTCTATCATAAATTGAAAAAGGTCATTTTCCATAATTTTATGCTGTGTGCATTGTGTGAATAATTCACAGAATCACTGGGTTGGAGGAGACCTTTAAGATCATTGAGTCCAACCCAGCCCTAACACCTCAACTAAAACCTGGCAACAAGTGCCACATCCAATCTTTTTTAAACACATCCATGGATGGTGATTCCATGACCTCCCTGGGCAGATCATTCCAATACTTTATCACCCTTTCCTTAAACAAACTTTTTCCTAATATCCAACCTATATTTCCCTTGGCACCACTGAAGACTGTGTCCTCTGGTTCTCTCAGTTGCTGCCTGGAGAAAGAGACCAACCCCCACCTGCCCACAGCCACCTTTCAGGGAGTTGTAGTGGGTGATAAGAACTTAGAAGTTGGGAATATCCAGTTTTGTTTGAGGTCTGGGCATCTTCTGCAATCTTCCCCTTAAATCCTTCAGTAATGTTGTTCCCATAGGTGTCCCTGAGCTGTTGGTTGACTTGGGGGTGTCAGCAGTGAGGGTCCCCTCTGCTGATGCCTTCCTGTGACCCTCTCTCTGTCCCACAGAGGTGCAGTGCTTGGGGAGGGCTCTAAGGAATATGGACACCTCTACGTGTCTGTGGAGGATGTGAGAGTCAGCCTCACCATCCAGAGGCTGCAGAAGTCATCCCCACCTCTCGGAGGAACCTTCCACATCCACTTGGCCAACACAGTGATACCAGGTAAGGGAAGATGCAGGTCAGGAGCTGGATTTCCTGAGCAGGAAGCCAAGGGAAGAATTAATTGCCAGAGAAGTTTTGGCTGCTCCTTCCCTGGGTGTGCTGAAGGCCAGGTTGGTTGTTATTAAATAGTGTGGATGATCTTAAAATTAGACACAAGGAGGAAATTTTTTATGATGAGATCGGGGAAACAGTGGCAGAGGTTGCCCAGAGAGGTGGTGGATGCCCCATCCCTGAAACCATTTGAGGTCAGGTTGGATGGGGCTTTGAGCAACCTGGTCTAGGGTTCATTGCTGGAATTAGGTGACCTTTAAAAGTATTTTCCAGCCCAAATCCTTTTTATAATTCTATGATTATTTGGTGTTTATGGTCCAATAAGTGTCACTCTTTTGGCAGCTGCAGAGGTTTGAACCGCGACAGCCTTGTACCAATAAATGAAACCCCTTCCTTTCCTAAGAGCAGGCTGATGTGATCTCCTGGAAATGGAGATATCCACTGCTTCCTAACCTCTTTTCCAGATGTTTCAGTGCACATCTCTGCCCATCAGCTGCGCAGACTATTGCAGAACAATGTGGACAATTTTACAGCTCCCTTCTTCAACACCAGTGACTTCACTGTGACCAGAGACTCCAGGTCGTGCTATGAAAGTGTCTGGACACTGACTTGGAAAAAAACAGCTGGGGACTTGCCCAATGTTATCAGTGTACAGTAATTTTTTTTTACTAATCCCCACTTTGATCCCCATTTGATGTCTTTGGTCTTGGTTGATTCACTCTCACAATGGCTGTTTCTATGAAAACACCGTGGAAATTTAGGCAATCTTCCTATTTGGAGCAGCACCTTTAGCAAATTCCAGATTAAATTATTAAAAAAAAATAATTATAGGAGAAGAAATTATATTGAGTCTGTGATTCAAAACCAGGAGATTTGAGTGTAATTTTTGCACAGCAAAGAGGCTGGTATACTGAAATGAAGTCTTTATTAATTATATGTACATTAATGTTTCAGTACAGTAACTGTACCTCATCACAGATTTGTGGCATCATTTATTTGCCAAGAAGGTTTTTTTCTGAGAACTATTTTGTCTGCTTTCATATCTGGATCTCATAAGTCTCAGGTGAAGGTCCACTTCACACTCTCCCATCCCAAGATTTGTCCTGCTAGTTTTGCTTCAAACAGAAGGGGCTTTTTGAGTAAGGACTCAAACTGAGATGCTTCCTACCTAAAAAGGAAACACTATTTATTTGGATATTCACGTCTATAAGTGTGATGTTATTTTCAACAAATTCCAGTGCTCAAGACATTGGCCTGGAGGGTGAAAAATGTTTGAGCTGCATCTTCAGCTCTTGCACAGGCCCTTGTTTCACCTAAAGTTGTGTCTTTGAGAAGATCTTTCCATGCCTAAATCCAAATTACATTATTGGATATTAGAATTTATTTACCAACCTGACTCCTGAATTTCTTTGTCGTCTCTTTGACTGCAAGGTGAAGGTGGGAACAGAGAGGTATAGTGAAACCTTGAGTAACGAAGATTTAGAGGTGCAGATATGATTCATGGAAGAAGGGTGAGAAGTTTCCAGGAGTTACTGCTTGTAAAGATTCTGTTTTAATTTAACATCACAGGACAGAAAAGGATGAGAAACTTGAATTCCTCGATCTTTGACAGGTCTCTGCTGAAAACCTCACTGGCCTGAATCCAACAGTTTCTACTCGTGTGGTTTATGATGGGGGTGTGTTTATTGGACCAATATTTGGGGACATGCTTGCCACCCTCCATAACCAAACACAGGTGAGTTGATGTGCTCTCACACCTGTCACTGATTCAGCAGGGTTGTCTAGCTCCAGGAGTCTCAAAGGTACCTTGATCTGCCAATAAACCCTTTCAGGAATCTGATGTTTTTTGCCATAAATTTCTCATATTCTGCTGCCTGGTGTGTGGAGCAGGACTTTCCCCCAAGAGCTGTTGCAGGCAGGGAGAATGATGATCATGGGTGATGGAAGACAATATATAATTTTTTTGAAGCAGTGACCAAGGGATTAAAATCTCTGAACTCCCACTCTTGGTGGTTCCTGTGGTGCTGGACACCAAACTGGGAATTACACAATTCACCTGCAACACTCTGTGACACTGATGGGAAAAGTAAATGACTTGGTGGCTGGGATACTCCTCTGTGAGTTTGGCAAATCCTGAACCTCTCTGGATCTCAATTCCTCAAGAGGGAAGAGAGAGATGGGGAGCTTCAGGCTGAAGGAGGGATTATTCCAATCTGCTGGATGGACAAATGTGTTTCCAGCTCTGCTGTCAGATGTTGCAGAACAGTGGCTATTGCTGGCATTGCTTCCAGCAGACTCACAGGCACTGTGGCCATAACAGGGTGATGCAGGATGGGCTCCAAGCCCAGCTGTGCAACATCTGGGGCCAAGTCACCCTGCCTTTTTCACGAGCCTGGTTCCCAGCCATGAGAATTGCTCTTCTTCCAGTGACTCAGCCACCTATAGCATCTTTTCCATCTGTGCTGCACAAACACTCAATTAGCCCAAGTGAAAAAACACCAGCAGCAAAAAACAGATTTTCTGATAGTTTTTGAGGCTTTATTCTGGCAGTGTAAAAGTGTCCCCCTATTGTGTCTCTGCTTTGAAGCTCTGTGCTCCTTGCATTTCTTTGGGACAGATGCTTTGCTTTTTGCAGGCACACCCTTAACACCTGGAGAGGGATAAAGAGGGGCTCTTTTGTGTCCTATTCTTTGCCAGTTGACTCCTCAAAAATATCAAGATCTCAGGAGGGATATTTCTTGGTATCTCTTTCAGATAATCAAGGTCACAGCCCAGTTTTTTTTCTTCAGCTTGAGCAACAAGGGGCGAAAAATAAAATTGAGAGCTGCATGTTGAGAAGACACATTGTGGGTTTCATTTTAATTAGTCTTCCAGGGTGCTTTAAACATAATAAATTTATTCCCAAGGCAAAGTGGGAAGAACTGGGGGAAGGCAAGAACAGTCTTCAACGGGTGACTGGAAGAACAGGAGTTTGAGGAGGTGTGGGTCCCAGGATGGTGGGAGATAGGCTGGAGATGCAGAATCCAAAGCAGTGCCTTGGATGAGCCCTATCAATTTTCTATTTAAATTTGCAATTAAATTTGCAGTGGGACTGCAGCAGGGTGAAGAGCTCTCTGTTTGTACCCTGTTCTAGCACTGAGTGCTCTCACTAGCTCAGAGTGGCTGCCAGCATCTCTAAGTCAGTTTTGGCTCTAGAAAACACCTCTGTTTCCTTACCAACTTTAAGGTTGCTCTCTGGTCTGTCTCCAGGTGGTGGTGATGGTGAATGATGTCCTTGCAAACTGTTCTGGCTCATGTTCTTTCCAGTTCAGCCAGGATTTGACACCCATAGTCAGAGATGTGGAATATTCATCAGGTAACAATGGCAAAAATTCTGTGAAAAAATCTGCCAGCTGCTGGTGATTTCATGGATATCTGTATACTTTTGTAAATTTTTGATTTTATGGAAATTGCACTTTTATGGGTCACTTCTGATCAGCTCCAGTTCTAGATATGCTGAGTGCACAAGTTTGACCTGAGAAGGAGCTGGGAAGGGTCTGGGGCACAGGTGTGAAGAGGAGCAACTGAGGAGGCTCAGCCTGGAGAAAAGGAGGTTCTGGGTGACCCACTCACTCTCCACAACTCCTTGATAGGAGGGTGCAGCCAGGTGGGGCTTGGTCTCTTCTAGGGTTGAAGAAATGGGATGATAGGAAATGACCTTAATGTGCATCAGGAGAAGGTTAGAACAGTCAGGAAAAATTTCTTCACCTAATGGCTCTCAGGCTCTGGAACATGCTACTCTGGGCAGAGGTGGAGTCACCATCACTGGAGGGGTTCACAGGGATTGTAGATGTGGAATTTCAAGACACGGTTTGGATGGTGAACACAGAGGTGATCTTAGAGGTCTTTTCCAACCTTAACTACTCTGTGATTCTATGGTAGAAGCATAAAGGGGAGAGAAACAATGGCAGGTTTGATGCCTAAAGCAAAAAACAGCTCTTGGCTCAAGTTATTTTTAATAAAAAAATAAGGAAAAATGTAACAGCTGGACAGGGACAGGCAGGAGTTGCTGTTATGTGGAGCAGTGAGATATAACCAGTGGTGTAGTTTTCGGGATATCCTGTTGAAGCTGTTAGAAACTTTTCACTGTTGGCTGAATTTAAATTCTGGGCATTGCTAGGCCAAAATTTGTGAGTGACCTTGATGATTCTATTCCTTCAGGTGAGGGGTCCCAGGCCACAGTGGTTCTCAGGGGAGCTGGCTTTGGTGAGGAGCAGCTGGCCCTGCAGGTGGAGGTGGACAGGAGGAGCTGCCACGTCACATCTCTGAATCAAACCCGAGTGGTTTGCCAGGTGCCGAGGCTGCCGGTCGGGATCTACCCGGTGACGCTGCTGGTGACACCTCATGGCTTTGCTCTTGGTGGCACCACAGGACAAGGAATCTTCCTCACAGTCCAGCCAACACTGGGAGCTGTTGAACCTCCTTCGATTTCAGAGCTTGGTAGGTGCGAACCCTCCAAGGGAGCTGCTTCCTGCTTTGTCCTTGTTGTGGCGTGTTTTGGTTCTCCTGTACTTTCACTGCCAAGATTTTCACCAGATGAAAACACTGTGTGTGCTCCAATGCACAGTCTATAATGACCTAAAGACTGACAGAATCACTTCAGCTCTTCGTTCAGGCAACCAGTTTCCTGAGTAGTTTTGTTTGGGAATTTATATATTCAAGTGCAGATACATTCATTTCTGCAAATCATTAGTGTTTCATCCTCCCATATCCATTTGACTCATAGCTTTGTAGTATTTGAATTATTCAGGTCTAATTAGAGTGGGTATTAGGGAAAATTTCTTCACTGGAATGGTTGCCAATCCCTGGAACAAGTTGCTCAGGGCTTTGGTGGAGTCACCATCCCTAGAGGGATTTGAAAGATGTGTAGACCTGGCACCTGAGGACATGGGTTAGTGGTAGGCCTGGCAGTGCTGGGTTACTGGCTGGACTTATTGATCTTAGAGGGTTTTTCAAAACTAAAGGATCCTATGATTCTGTGATTATGAAATGGCTGAACTCTGGTTAACCTCAGCCTCATTGAAGCAAATTCATGTTCTGAGGAATAAAATGGAAAACTCACCTGTGTTTAGGTACAAAGCTAAGAAACTTAGAGAAGCTAAAGCTAAACTGAATCTCCTTCCCTTCCCATTATACCTCCTCTCCTTGAAACAGAAGAGGAAATAAAGTTTGATAAATTCTATACCTGAAGACAAGATCTTCAAGGATTTTTTTGTTGTTTTTGAGAGGAAAGTGTCTCCTTATCCCAATGAGAAATGTGGCAAACACTCTTGACACACCTGGGCTGTGCAGTGAATGACAGTCTCAGATTATCCTTTGTTTTCAAGCAGCAAGGAATGCAGAAAGAAAATTATTCTGACTCTTTTACTACCATTTTTTTCCCTAATGAGAGGGTCATGGCACACTAAGTTTAAGAATCACTTTTAATTCATAGACAACCCAAACACCTCCAAACGACTCTTAAAACAATCCAGCAATGGCAAATTTTAGTGCTTGGGCTTTGCTTCTCCTTTCCTTTGCTGGCAAATCTGCTCCTCCCAATTACAGTGATCTGTCACTCATTAAAAAGAAAGCAAGAATAATGCTGTCTTACATTACATGTGCCTGGAATGCTCATAATTGGAAAGAATTACAGCTTCCATCTGTGTTTTTAATTTCTCCCATTTCAAATACCTCTCTTCAATCTCATTGTAAAGGGCACACAGGCAGTATTTCACTGCATATAGATATAATGTAGATATCAAAACTTAACAGCATCAGTCTTTACACAACACTCATGGATTCTGAACTCTAAATATCAAGCTCCTTATCTGACAACTCTTTCATTAGAAGCGGCTTCAGTTTTCACTTCTTGCTCTTTCTGACTCTGCAAATTTAATGTTACACGATGGAAAGGCAAAAAAGCACCGTGTACTTTACTGCTTCAGCTCCCCCTTGTCAAAATATCCCTGGTCTCAGTGGTGCCATGCTGGGAGATCCCCATGACCTAACTCTAGAAGCATGGAATGCCTTTCTAAAGATACTCCCATGTTCCAGTGAATAGCAGGACCTTGCTGTTAATGTATCTGATTGCTCTTGTTGGCCTGGATTTGCTGCCAGCCACAGGAAATCAAGTCTAAACTTCTATAATTCTCTGGTGGTTTAAGGAATTAGCAGGAATAGGTAATTTCAGGAAAGCTTGCAAGGGAATTTTTCATTAATATATAATTATTCTAACATAGAAGATTGGTTACATCATGTGTGAAAAGAGGGATAAAAGCTCAGTAGGTTTACAATATAGCAATGCTAATAAATACAAATAAACAGTGCATTAATTAGCCTGTCTGAGCAGTCTGTCCAGCCCTAATCCTAAAATTCTGCAGTGCTGAGAGCTAGAGAAAAACCTCTAAGATTCAAGTACTTCATTTTTTTTTTGAAAGTTTCTTTGAATCGCACCAAAGCACAAACTCCAGCTTAGAATGGCCATTAATGCCCACTCCTGTTCTCTTTCCTGTTTCTCTTTGAAATATCCCTGAGTCTTCTAATCACTTGGAAAAGCAAAGGGGCACCTTGGCTCTATGGAATTGGACGCTGAAGAAAGATCAAGCCCAAGTCTGACTTGTGTCGGGCGTGATCCCGCGTGGGATTGGAGAGGCTCGGTCTGGCACGGAGGAGAGCTGAGCTTGCTCAGCGCTCCACGGAACGAATCCCTCCGTGACTTCCCTCACAACTCCGAGTCTCCAGCCCTGCCAAGTCCCCTTTCTATCCCAAGTTTCCTAGACACATGCTACAGGCTTTTCTGACAGCAGGGAGCTTGGCAGCTGTTTGAACTGCGAGAGCACCTGCTGCGTTAAGCTCATTTTCCATTCTTAGTGCTTCTTCCTTCCTTCCTTATTTCTTTCTTGGGCTGGGGATCTGTCTAAGGGGGAGATCACAGGCCAGGGCTTGCTGGTTTAAATAAGTATGTCATTAAAAAATAAACCGAGAAAAAAACCCCAGTCACCCTGTATTGTGGAGCAGAATTCAAATAATTCAAATTCAAATAAGGCAAGAAGGATCTCTGGTGCAAGAGAGGGAGTCAGGCACAGCAAGGTGGAACAGATCATCATCAGCTCAGCTGTGAAGCTTTTGTAGTCATCTATAAACAAATAATTATTTGTTTATTAAAACATCCTACACGTTGAATATCATGGAATAATTCTTTGTTTTAGGAGGACTTAGAGTGACTCTCAAGGGCACCAATCTGGAAGGGGTAAATGCAGTGTTGTTTGGATCCCAGCCTTGCCCAGTTTTGGAGGAGGGCAGAAATTCAACAAGAATTCAATGTAAAGTTCCTTCTCGGGTAAGAAACCACACTTTGGGGAGCAGCCAGAATCCAATGTGACTTCCTATGTATTCCTGGCCTGAGCTACACCAGGGAAGGGCATAGTGTAGCCCCTCAGCCAAATCTTGTCTGTGGGCAGTTTACTGTGGACTCTATACAGATTAGACCAGCTTAGTTAAAAATAGATGAATAGGAGATATAAGAAAACCAGTGAAAAAAGCAATCTCCTTAATTTAGCAAGAATGTTACAAATTAAAAACTGTATAGTTAGTCTGGAATTTTATTTACTAGTTTAATGTACTTGCATGGATATAGCAAATCCAAATCTGCATAGTTTGGTGTTGTTTTAAGGTTTCTAAATCCCCGTAGATGCTCTTTAAAGTCAACATAACTGTAAATATTTAAGTAGAGTCTGGTGTATGTGCAAGTTTCATCAGTGCCATGTGCCTGAGTTTTGTATGGGAAATGCAGGAACATAGGAAATAACTTTTTTTTTTTAAATTTGGTTCTCTCTTATCTCTGACATTTTCTTTCTCTCTCTTCCTAGGGGGCAGAGGATGCTGCTGTCCATGTGACACTGATTTTTGGGTACAAGTCAACAACAGTAACCAATTTGTTCCAGTATGATCCTTCCTTAAACCCTGAACTTGTATCCCTGAGCAGGAACAGAAGTGGCATAGCAGGTGAAAATGCAGATGTATATTGGGCATCTTCTGGAGAAGGGTTGCTAGTGCTGATGGTGCTGGGGCAGAGGGAATTTATAAATCTATAAAGTTGGATCTGACACTTTTTGTTTGTTTTCTTTAAAATTTTAGTTCCTGTATTTTCTGCTAGTCCTGGTCAGTTATGGTTGGTTTTTAATTGATTTTTCACTAGCATATATGAGGTAATGAGTTGCTTGCCCTATGGTATGGATGATGTCCACAGGATATGAGGTTCAGTATAGTCCTGCTTTTGTGTCAGGTTTCTCTAACTCTGCTCTGAAAAGATCCCATCCATTCATGCAGTGACTGGAAACAATGGAATGGCATGAGGCTGTGTCAGGAATGTTTAGGCTGGGTATGAAAAAATGGTTTTCCACTCAGAGGGTGGTTGGGCACTAAACAATCTTCCCAGGGAATGGTCACAGCCCCAAGGCTGCCAGAGCTCAACTAATGTTTGTACAACTCTCTCAGGTACAGGGTGGGATTCTCAGGTCTGTCCTGTACAGGGTTGGGAGCTGAACTTTGATGATCCTTGTGGGCCCCTTCCAACTCAGAGTATTCAATGATTCTGTATTTCTTAGTAACACATTCATCCATGACAGGAGAAATGAGCTCTGGAGAGTGTCCTTCTCCAGGATCCCCAGGGGTTCGACCATAAAGAGCATCATGTGCATTTTAGGTTACTGAAAGCAGTGGATAGGCAACTTTTCTTTCTCTTAGTTCCCATTTCCAAGCCAAACTGTTCCTTCCTTTTTGACCTTGTGATGTTTTACTTTAGAATATGAACATAGACTTCACAGAATTAATGGGGACAAAATCCTAATTAGATCTTACAGAGTTTTTGCCATTCCTGTATTTTCAAAGTTTCTGTTTGGGGTTGTTTGGGTTTTTTGGTGTTTTTTCCCCACACATTTCCCTCATTCCCCCCTCCCCCCCAAGATTTTGGCTGTGTGTAGGGAATAGAAAGCATAAATAGTGAATGATGTCCACTTCCAAACAAGCCTCTTAGGAAAGTTTAGCACATTTCTGCATGGCAAACACCAGTTATGTGGTATCTGAGACAGTGGGGAAGGAGATGGGAGGAAGACAGAAATATTCCTGTTTTCTTACCTATCCCATTCCCATTCCTCCAAGAATATAATAATCTGACATTTTTCTCTATTTTTGCAACCTCTCCAGTGAACACCTCAAAGCTACCCACAGCTCCCAAATTCGGTTGGACTTGTTGGGGACTTACAGGGTTAGGTGACTGCCAGTGCCAAAATTCCTTGTGCACTCCCAGCATTTCTGTTCATTTTTCCCCAAATGCCCTTGTCATTTTCTATTACTCCAGAATGCATAAATAAGAGAAAACGTCCTTTATCATCTGAATATTATTCAGATACCACAGCACCAAGGGGAGGTTTTTGTAGCCGCGGGCAGCTCAGGTGCAAAGAATTCCTTAATGTTACAGTGTCTCATGAGCTGTGGTGGGGCTGAGTTCAATCTCCTATTCAGAACCACCACGGCTTCGTCTTTTAATATAATTTTCCTTCTATATAATAAAAAGAATAAATAAATTACACTGATGCCTTCCAGGCATCTGGGATTAAGCTGACAATTGACCAAGAGTCCAAAGAGTTCATGTTATTAACATATTCAACTTCTCGGGCTTTCAAACTTTATTTGAGTCTTTGTGAATGCAGAATTGAAAAGTATCAGCTCCAAGACTTGCTTAGAGGAGCAGGTAGGTGAGGGAAGCTTTGTACAGGCTCTCCTGCTTCTTCCTCCCTCCTTCATCCTTTCAGGGGAGACAGGAGGATGAACTTCACCTCCTAAACACATCCCTGTGCTCAATGTTTAGATGTTTTGCATGGTCATTGAAGATAAATAGATGTTTCTGTGGTGGAATTTGCCACAGCTCTTTTGTGTGTCTTGCAATAGGATGAATCATGGCATAAAGTCTCTTTTCACTGACCACTGATAGAGCTATTGGGGAAAATGCCTTTATTTGGACTGATAGATACCACCTTATTTTTTAAACTATTTCAGAAGAATTTAAAGTTATGAAAATCCCTCATCTCTTGGCTTTGTCCTTTCCTGTTAGTGCAATGTGCACTAATAAAGGAAAGTATCCTTTATCATCTGAACACAGATTGACACAGAGCAGCTTAAATAGGAGAGGGAGTCATGATTGCTGAAAATAAGGTGCTTTGGAGCAGAGCTCATTTTCCCTGGAATTATTTATTTTTGTAGTGAGTCATGTGGGGCTGTGTTTTGAGTTCATGTTGAAAACAGTGTGCATGGGCTGGGGGTGGACACGGATTTGGGAGGGGACACAGCCAGGACAGCTGATCCCGACAGACCCAAGGGATTATCCTAGACCAAGCTGCTCATGTTCAGTTTATAAAGCTAAGAAAGGAAGAGGGAGACAGAGCAATGGCATTTTGTCTTCCCAAGTCACCATTCCATGTGATGGAGCCCTGCTGGAATGGCTGAACACCTGCCTGCCCATGGGAAGCAGAGAATGAAGTCCTCATTTTGCTTTGCACACATAACTTTTGCTTTACCTATTAAACTATTTTTATCTCCACCCACAAATTTTCTCCCTTTTATGCTTCCAAATCTGTCCCCCACCCACTGCAGGGGAAGGAGAGAGCAGATGTGTGGGGCTGAAATGACATCTGGGGTTAAACCATGACAATCACATCTGACTTTAGGTACACAAGGAAATTTTCATTTTACTGTGGAAGGCTCCTGTTATTATTACATGGGTCCATAATTCTGAAAAACAGGCTATAGACAGTTTATCAGGGATTAAAAAAAAAAAAAAATCCCAGAACCCCTCAGCTGCAGAGCTTAAAAAAAACCCTGTATTTGGTTTTTATCAGGTTCAGATATTTTTAGGGCAGACATTTATGGTAAGGGGGACATGAATCCTATCCTATCGTATTGAGTGTTGCTGAGAGTGGTCATAACCAAGTTCTGCTGATATCTCAAGACAGCCCTGATAGCTGGTGACCTTCTGCAGGAGAGATTGAGTTGGACACAGAAGCACTGCTGGGTTTGGGCTGATGGGCAGGGCTGGACTATTCTGGCATGATTGGACTACACTCTTCCTCAGGCCATGTCATGTGTGCTAAAATAGCCATTTCCAGAAACACTGAAAAAATTCCATTCCTTTCTCTGCAGGAGGTGAGGAGCTTCACATTGGAATATCCCAGTTTGCCAGCTACCAGGGCTCAGATGTCAAGGTCCAAATTGGGGACTCATGGCCACAGATCCAGGCGCAGACAGAGTGTGGGGTTAATGTGACACTTCCAGCCCTGCCTGCAGGGTGGTACAATATTTCTGTCCTCATCAATGGCATTGCTCTCACTTCAAACAGGTCTGTATTTGGCTTAGAAGTTTCATTCTCCATCCTATTAGGTGTTTTAGGGTTAATCTGAAAAGGAAGGCTTGGGTTTTTCACAAATTCTGTACCTAAAGGTGAATGCTGAAGTGTGGTATGAAATTATGAATAATTATCAAGGCATTTATTTATCTGTGGAACCCGACTCAGCAAACTGCTAATGCTAGTTAATTAACTTCCCTTGGATCAGTAGGAGGCAGGAGAGAAACATTTTAGGAAAAAACAGTTGATTTGATGAAAAATGCATATTCAGGCAATCAAAGGTATTCGCAGATTCAGGTCAAATGCAGATAAATCCTGCTGTAGGAAAACAGCAGAAGAAAAGAAACACTTTTCATCAGAAAAACAAAAGCTAGTTTGAACAATGCAAAAATGCTTTGTTTGGAGAATTTTTAAATGATGATATTTCCATTTCCTAAGGTGACACTTCAAGTTCATGCCTAGATAAATGTAATATAAATGAATTAAAATGTGGGGGAATGCTGACCTGAAATTGGGACATAGGAATGTATTCAAAAGCAACACAGTTTTGTTCCTCTGCCATGGCAGCTGCCAGGAGTGATCTTGAAATGAAAATACTGGGGAGAAATGAGGTGTTTTTATTGCTCAAAACCCAACTTAAGATGCTTGTAATGTTAATGAACCTCAGAAGGAGAAAAATTGTGGTTGGTGGGATGACACACAGGGATTCATCCCACTTGGTACTGGAGTCTGTTAACAGCACCATCACTTCATCTCCAGGGATAGATTGGAAGGAGATGGGTATTCCCAGGAGAGGACTCTGAGCTCTGGTGGGCTGGATTGCAGGATTGGGAAGATCCCTTCTCTAACTTGTCTTTTTAGGGAAGGGGATGTTTTTGAAAGCAGGGTGATGAAGAAAAATAGATGTAGATGGGACAGAACTAGAGCTGTAACTTTATCTGGGTGGGCTTCAGGAGCTCATGTCTGGGTTTCCTTTTGTTCAGTGTACTCCATTCTTTAGTGGGAGGGAGTGAGGAGAGAGGGCAGCTGTGATACCTTTTCAATGCATTTCTCTTGGGCATAGATACAGTGGGGTCTGCTTGCCAAAAAAATCCTTATTCTTGCTTCCTTTGATGGGCAATTCACTTGGACTAAATTTGGCCCACAGGTTGCCAATTGATAAGAGAGTGTTTGTGACAGATTTAGCTCAAATGTGTCCCTGCCCAGGGACAGTGGGGTTTAGAATGAGTTGATCTTTAAGATCCCTTCCAACCCAAACCATTCTGTGATTCTAAACCACATGGAAAAATTTGGGGTGTTGGGTGGTCTTGTTATTGTGACATCAAACAAAGGGGATGTGCCAGATGAATGCTTGGCTTTCTGGGAGTTGTAAAAAAGAAAAGCACTGCAACAGGAAGGAAAAAATAAAAGAATAGCCCTAACTGCCCCAAATCCTTTCTGTGTTGGTTGTGTTTTGCAGGGTTGAGCCATTAATCCAGTACCTCTTCGAGATCTTCAGCATCGAGCCGTGTTGTGGCTCCGTTCTGGGTAAACAGCATGGGTACATCTGCAGTCACTTATGGAGGTTAAAGGGATCAAGAGCACAGTTTTCCTGCAGGAATGGAAAGTGCATCCCATTTCACATCCGTTTAAATGAGGGGGTTTTGAATCTGTGACCCTTTATTATGCAGGCATCAACTGGCAGACAGCAGCGGTCTGGAAATGTGGGATTGTAGTGAGCATCCCTCCATCTGGTTGGCTGGCTCAGGGCTCCCTGTGCTTTGAATTTGATTTCCCCGAGTGTTTGCTCATGTATCCTTGCATGTTCCCGTTGGGAAAACAAAGCACACCCACACCTGGCTCATCTGTGCTGTTTCTTTCAGTCATTTTGCCCCCATCTTTCAAGGTTTTCCATGTGAAAGTTAGGTGGAAAGCAGAGTACAATTGTGGTTTGAAGCAAACAATAATTTGAAGTGATCCCAAAAGGGATGTTCATTTTTGTTATGTTGAAAAGACAAAATAAAAAAGCCCTTTTTCAATGTTAATTTTAATCAAAAGGGAAATATTTATTAATGCCGTTCTAAGCTTTTAGACATTGGAAATAATTTAAGTGTGTTTCTGAGCAGAACATCACTGAATTAAAAAGAAAAGTTTTACTTTAAATCTTAAAAAGCATATTTGGGGTAGTTGATTTATTTTGTCATTTGGCTGGTGGTGGAGGAGAGTTGAATCCCTGTAGTGAATTTTACATGAGGCCTTAGAAATGCTTTTATAGAAGACAGAGAAATTCTTGTGCTACAACCTCAGGTCCTCCACAGATTGCTCTCCCAGGCTCAAAACACATTTAAAGACACAAAAATTCAGAGGCTTTGTGGTATGTGATTAGTTCAATAGTTTGTGAAGTGCTCAAGCCTTGAAAGATGAGAGAGTGGATAAAGCTTGGAGAGCAAATCCTATCAGTTTTGAAGATTAAGCCATACTACAAAATATAAAGAAGTTTTACCCTTCTTTCTATATTTCAGGATAAATTGAAAATTAAATAAGAACTGATTAACCCTTTGGTTGTGGGTTTATGAATGGTTTAAGCTGAATTAAAACCTCTTTGCTGCAAAAAGCACCAGTCCCTTCCCCCTTAGCTGTAATCTTTTGTTGTCTCTAACACTTGTGTGTGTATCTGGGTTAAGGATTTGGGCTCACTTAAAAGAAACCTCATCATAAACCAACTTATTTTTTCAGCTAGATCATGGGAAAAGGAAGAGAATGGGCTTTACGGTTAAAGAGGTTGAAGCAGGGCAGGACACTGGGAGTACCAGTACTACAAACAAAAGGAACATGGACAGAGCCTTTGGGTGGGCTCTTCCCTGTGAGGGTGGTGCAGCCCTGGCACAGGAGGCCTGGAGAAGCTGTGGCTGCCCCATCCCTGGAAGTAATCAGGAGCAACTTGGATGGGTTTGGAGCAACCTGGGATAATGGGAGGTGTCCCTGCCCATGGCAGAGCTTTGGAAGGAGGTGGTCTTTAAGGCCCCTTACAATCCAAACCATTTGGTGATTCTATGAAATCTGACACTAAGTTTGAAAATATTCACAATTGCATTCTTCTTCCCTGTGGGCATTGGAAACAAACTACCTCCCCACTCACCTGTGGGGACAGTCCCATTCCATGAAGAATTCAGCCTCTGTTTACTCTCAGGGGTCTCTCACAGCAGCTTTTTCCATTTCTGTGATGGCTTTCTACAGTCATTTACTGCCACAAAGATCCCTGACTACTCGTTCCCTTAGCCTCTTGTCCACGTGGGATTATCCTGATGTATTGCTATTGTTTCTAGCTGTCTTGTCCAAAAAAAAAAGGATTTTATTTCTTTCCTTCAGCCTGTCATGCTTATCAGCTTTATCATAAAAGATTTGTGTTGGAAGGGACCTTAAAGATAGTGCTTTGAGATGGTTCAGAGATAGTATTGAATTCCTCTTCTGCATTAAATACCCTTCTTCCTTATTTTGCTTTGCTCCTAGGTGGAACACTGCTCACAATCTCTGGGGTGGGCTTTAGCCAAAATCTTGCCCTGGTTTCTGTGTCAATGGACAATCAAACCTGTACAGTTACTCACCTGGAAGAAGAGACAGTTTGGTGCCTGACCCCACCAGCTGCTAATTTGTCTAATGAAGATTCACATGACAGCTCTGTCAGAGTAAATGTAGCCATCAGCAGTGGGTCATTTCAACAAGCTCTCTTTGCAAATAGGACCACCACCACCACCTTTAACTACCAAAGAGCTTTGACTCCCCTCGTTACTGCTGTTGAAACAGAAATCACAGATGGCAGCCTGCTCTTGAGCATTCAGGGAATAAACATCACTGGATCTGTGGCTAGACTTGGACACAGTGAGTGTCAGCTGGAGTTGCAATGGGGCAGCCAGTCTGCAACGTCTTACCAGTGCTCTTTGCCACTGAACAACCTGGAACCTGGGACTTTCCCCATCCAGGTCATCCAGAGGCAGCTGGGATATGCTCAAGTGACAGCAAGGCAGCAGTCCCTCACAATAACTCCACAGATAACCTCCATATTCCCATCACAAGGATCAATCTGTGGTGGGATGTTGCTCACTATAATTGGTATTGCTTTGAAATCCAGGAGGAATTTGACACAAGTCAGCCTGGAGAGTAATTACTCCTGTGAGATCCAGAAGTCTGACAATGACTCCATCAGCTGTGTTGTCCTTCCAGGGGCTCACCCTTTGCACCCTCACTGGCTGGCTGAGGCATCTCGGGCTCTCAGTGTCACTGTGGTTGTCAATGGGGTCCGCAGTGTGTGCCTTGGGGGCTGTACACTCCACCTTCAGGAGCACTGGACCCCTCTGGTACATCTGGTGACCTGGAAGACCAACGGGACATCCACCCACATGACAATCAAAGGACAGAGGCTGGCATGGCAGGGTGACAGCCCCGTGGTACATGTGGATAACAGCTCTGCCTGCAAGGTGACGTTTTGGAACGAGACCATCATCAAGTGCCAGACAGCCTGCCTGGACCCAGGGGAACACAACATTTCCATATCCAGCGGGAAAAGTGGCCGTGCTTGTTTCAGAGGGACATCCAACCTTCTCACCATCCTGCCTTGGGTGTACCAGTTTTACCCACGGGATTTCAGCACCAATGGGGGAGGCCTGCTCAGCTTAGCTGGGTTGGCTCTGAAGGGAAAGAGGATGACTTCAGTCCTCATAGACCATCACCCTTGCTTTGTTCTCAACATCACCTGTGTGTTCATCCAGTGCACGGTGCCTCCGGGGAAAGGCACGAGGGCTCTGAATCTGAAAGTAGACGGGCAGTCCTATTACCTTGGAACAATAAGTTACAGTGAGGAATTTACCCCAGCTTTCCTTTCACTTGTTTCCACTGGTCTCCTTTTAACTTTGACAGTATCACAGGTCACAGAGGTGGACATTATCCAGGTGTTTACTGGAGATTTTCCTTGCAGCAACATCACCATCAGTCACTCCGTGTTGCAATGCACAGCTCCTCTGCTCCCTGTGGGCGAGTACCCTGTGCTGGGCCTGGATATTCCCAGGGGATGGGCTTCCTCCAGCCTGATGTTCATTTCTCATCTGACAGTCACAGCTGCACGTCACAACTGGGGTAAGTCATGGAGGGTTGCTGCAGCTCCTCCACAGGGTTTTGTGTGAGGCACTGCAGTGATGTGGGCTTTTTGTCATGAAAGCAAAAATTATGAATTAAGAAAAAAACCTTTTGTTGAGAGCTAGCTATCAGGCTCCGTCTTAAATCCCATTTTCTGTTCTTTTCTAAGGTGGCTTGAATGGAGGACAAGTTTACCTGCGTGGAACTGGATTTTCCCCAGGAAAGACTTGGGTCACAGTCTGTGGCACCAGCTGTGAACTCCTGGGCAACATGACAGTGACTGAGCTGAGCTGCCTTGCCCCACGCCTACAAGGTCAGTTAAAACTCAGAAACTGTCATTGTGATAAAAATATCCCCTAAACCTTTTACCCAAAATGGGGAGTCCTAGTGTATCTCATCCCAGGGGAACAAGGAGCAGCCCTGGAGAGAGAAAAGGAATTAACAGAGCACTGACAAAGTTTGGACTTGATGATCTTGTAGGTCTTTTCCAACTGTAATAATTCCATGAAGCTATGAATTCTGTTTTTTGAACTCAGTCTGAGGACAGATGGTGTCAGGGTGAATTATTGTGTCAGTGGCCATGGACACTGGACTAGATCCAGCATGTGCCTGTGGCCACACTTGCATGACATTGTTTCCTCACAGCAGTTTTTCCTTGGGAAACTCTCCATGTAAGACATGCATATGGACTGCAGGGTTGGGTACCCAAGCAACTCTTAGCCATCATAATCATCTTAATGAATTAAACTCTCTTAAAGGCCTTTTCTTCTGAGGAAACTGTCTCAAGTTGCATCAGGCAAGTTTCAGTTTAGATATTAGAAAACTTTTTTCACATAAAGTGTTTTCAAACTTTGGAAGACGGTGGAAAAGGAAGCAGTGGAGTCATCATTCCTGAAAGTGTTAAAAAATATGTGTGGATGTGGCACTTGAGGACAGGGTTTAGTGGTGAACATAGTGTTGGAGAGATGATGGTGGGACATGATTATCTTAAAGATCTTTTCCAACCTTAACAATTCTTTGATTCTGTAGCCACACAGATTTTGTGTTTTGGTTACGTGGTAGGATGGCCTCGGTGGAGTAAAGGTGTAGAAGGAAAAGGTTGAATGACTGGAAGGGTGAACAAATGACAGACCATGGCCAGTTCATACCTTTGGGAAGCTGGAGATGAGGATTTGACTTCCTTGAGAGGAGGATGGGATCATCCATCATGACCAGAGCATCCTCCTTAACTGGAGAGAGACATGATGATCTCCACATCTCTCTTTGAGAGAAATAACCCTGCCTGAATTTTGGAACTAACTCTTCAAAACGAGCATTTTCTGGGACAAGATACATTCCCTCCTTTTCCTACGGAAGGCTCAGAATTAGGCTTCTCAGATCTGCAAAAGGCAGAATTTAAGGCTTTTAAGTCTCAGCTCTGAGCCATGTACCATTCCCCAAATTCTAAACATGGAAATTCACCTTGGTGTTTGACTCCTTGGTGGAGTCCCCATCCCTGGAGTTGTCCAAGGAATGACTGGAAGTGGCTCTCAGTGCTCTGGTCTGGGTGACAAGATGAGGAGCAGTCAGCAGTCAAAGCTTGGACTCTGCACTCTTGGAGACCTTTTCCAACCTAAATGGTGCTGTGATTCAGGGATTCCAAGATTCAGAAGGTTAATATTTCAGCCCCTTCAAAGCTCTGAAGTTGGAGAAGATCTGGAGATCTGCAGAAATATTTGCTGTTCTGAGGCTGTCCAGACATCCAGTATGCAGGTGACCAGAGATCCATGACCTCTTATTCTTTGTGGGTGTGAAAAAAAAGGTGGCAAAGTTAGAGTGTCCATCAAGGTAAATTCATATGGATTTTATCAAAGGTGTGTGGAATATCCATCCTCCAAAATAGAAGTTGGATAAATTATTTGCCAAGAAGCCACCCCACCATGAAATTTAACATTCTTTTGAGCAAGGGCTGGGACAAGAGGCATCCAGGTGCTCTCTTTCAGCCTCACTTACTCCCAAATTCTAAATTTATTCCTGTACTTTTGAACGCTTCCTTTTATAGAATCCCAGAAATATTTTGGCTGAAGGAACCTTAAACGTCCTCTAGTTCCAGTGCCATGACAAATACTAAAAAGGATGGAAGGGAGAAAGAAAAACAGCTTTAGGACTCAACCACAAGCACTCAAAAAGAGACAACAAGAAGGCAGAAAGAGCTCAGTTTCCTTTGTTTTAAACAGGCCTAGGCACAGACCACAAAACAGATTGTAATTTTAAACAGAAAAAAACCACGGTGCTTGAGTGCTGGAAAATAATAAAGCACAAAACGGGGCACCCTGGTTATTGCAGGGAGAATAGCATACTAAAATGTAATCACATTGATCCAGGCTGTGTTCAGAACTCACTGGGTGGTTGGTGGCAGAGGGAGCCTGGGGAAAACAATCTTCCAGGCAGGACCCCGATGCTTGTTCCTGTCACTAGATGTCAGCAAGTGAATGCTGATCGCTGGCTGTGTGTCTGGAGAGGAAATGCAAAGGAAGCCTTGCCTCACCCTCTCTTCTCCTGCTCCGGGTTTTGCAGCCTTGCCAGCTTCACCAGCCGTGTTGCAAAATATTAGTTAATTAAATATTTACAAACAAACATATATGTTTTTATTTGCTTAAAAAAAAATAAAAATCCTTTTGCAGGCTGCTCAAATCTGTGTTTGTCAGTCTCTTTGTACTCCCTAAAACAGCTGTATTCAGCTTGTGCACATCTACATCTGGCATGAGTGAATCTAATGCTTAATATTTAAGGATTTTTTTTTTTTTTTTTTTTTTTTTTTTTTTTTTTTTTTTTTTTTTTTTTTTTTTTTTTTTTAGTATTTAAGGTTTTAACCGTGCTCCTCAACACGTTTAGGGTGATTTAAGTGCAGTAACTCCAGTCTCACCTCATGGTTTTTGTGCTGTTAGCCTGGGGAATTTTGCCATTTGGTGCTGGCACACCCAGTGCTCAGACCTCTCTTGCACTGCCTTGTCCACATGGGAGAGGTGGCAAAGAGACTCCAGGGATTCAGGACTGTGAAGGAACGGAAAGGGGAGATCTTCGATGCCCCAGGGCCCCTCAGTGTTGTGTCCAGGTTGGATATTTGTCCGACCTTTCCCTTCTCTGCTCGCCGAACTGGCTGGTGTGAAGAGTTTAAGCTGCATTTCTTCTGCTCCTGAGGGCTGTGAAGCAGAACCCTCTCTCCTCTGGCACTGTGGGATGTCAGGTGGCAGTGGCTGCCCTGGCTCTAAGTGCTGGGTCATGTTGTGTCTGGCTTGCTTGAGATTAAAGATGTCCATGTGGGAATCCCCAACCGGTCCATGTGGCTCTCATGTGATCCAGTCCATAGGGCAAGGCTCTGCAGGTAGGAAATGTGACTTCTTTCCTTCTTTCCCTTTGAGCAGGAAGTTTTCTAAGAGATGAGGAATTGCCAGGCTCAGCAGGATCCATCCATAAGCCTTCCTCATGGGGCTTTCCTTAGGAACGGGTGTTGAGCGGGGTCGCAGCGAGGTTTTGGTTTGATCACTGGCAAGAGCTGGGCATGTTACTGAGATATCCTCAACCCAGAGCACAAGGAATGGGAATGCAGGACCAGACTCTTTTATGAAAACCGTTGTCTTTTGCAAGATGCAGAAAAATCAATTCAGAACAGAGCTAAAATTTGATTTTCAGCCTTAAAGCTTAAAAAAAATTAACAAAATCAAATAAAATTAACAAAACCTCACTGCCTTTAAGGAAAAACAAAACCAAAAGAAAAATACCCAAATTAACCCATGAGTCTTTAAAGGTAAAGATATAACCGGCTTGATCACCATGCCTGGAAGGGTTCAAAAGCCATGTAGATCTGGCACTTGGGGACATGATTTAGTGATGGGTTTGGCAGTGCTGGGAGAATGGTTTCACTCAATCTTAGACGGCTTTTCTAACCAAAATTATTCTATAATCCTGAAAGCTCTCCCCTTCTCTGGTTCTTGCTTTGTTTGTGCCATTGTATGAGTGAAAATGCAGTTGTAGATTCTGTTCAGCTCAGGTTAAATTTACAGAACATGTGGTTAATGTTTGTGGGACTGAGTTGTGCTCCTGTGAAAGATGAGAAAAACTGTCAGGAAGCTTGAGACAGGTGAGAAAATACTTGATTATTCCTGTAAGGTGCTATTAGGGTAAATACCGTATATAATTTTGCCAGTAAACCAATCCCTGAGATTTTATGTTTTACATTAAGGTGAAGGTAAGGAAGGCACCTTTAAAAGGAAGTGAACTGATAAGAGTAAAAATCAGAGTAAAAAAGCTGGCCTGATTTTCCTGGTTGCATCAGCATGCTTGGAATAACAGGTCTGACTTAAGGGTTTTGATGAGACAGATCTTTGTTGGAGGTTCTGGAGCTGCCATTAATCAGACTCTCCTGGTAAAAGTGCATGTTTAGGGAGGAGGATTTAGATTAGAGGCTAGGAATAAGACTGGTTTAAAAGGATGTGGCTTGGTGGAGCTCTTTGAATGGGGTAAGACTGGAGAGAGGAATGAGTTTTGGTTCTAACAAGGAGATGCACTGAGCCAGGACAATGGGGACTAGACAAGGGAACTTTGGGGATTTGTATGAGCAGATGCAGAAGATATGAAGAGGGTCTGTTGTGGTGTTGTGGCAACTGGGACCTCAGGTGAAACCAGGGCCACTGATGTTTATTGTGGAGATCAAACCGAAGGATCCAAATGGTTCCTTCTACCTTTCAAATCCAGAAATGAAGCTAAGAGGGGGAAATAAAGCATATTAATTACATGGTAGGAATGTTCTGACAGTGAGATCTATCAGGCAGTGGAATAGGTGCTTGAAAGCCACCTCTTGGGACTTCTGAAACCTGTCTCTGTGAAATGAATGTCTCACAGGGAGCAATTCTTCACAGGCAAAGGTTGGACTCAATGACCTTAACAGGTCTCTTTCTCCTCTCCCTTTTATTAACTTTTTTTTTTTTTTAATTCTTTGTCTTCCCTGCTAAGCACGTGTTGCTGCTCCACAGTCCATTTTGTGAGGGGTGGATAACCAGGGATGTGAGTTTTGGCACTGGGACTCCTTGGGCAGTTCTTCAATCAATCCCCAGCTGCCCTCAGAGCCTCCTGTAGGTTTGAGCCTCATCACAAGTCCTGCAGTGGTTATTAAACAGTGACCCAGAACAAAGCCCTTGTGCTGAGCATCCCAGATCCTGGATTAAGCTGGGATCCCTCAAAGCCAGGGCTGGGGGTAGTCAGTCCCTATGCCATTACCACCACACAGAGATTTGGCTGCCGTAGTGTCTGATCTCAAAAGAGAAGCTGTAATGAGCTGAGAGCATTCATCCCACAAATGGGATTGCAGGTTTGATCTTTATAGGGAGTATAAAGCCTAAAGCAGCTTCATTCTGGGGTTTGAGCACTAACCAATTAAGCAGGGAGAAGAATTGTGTCCCAGAATGGGCAGAATATCCTTTTAGGATGTGCCAAAAGTGTGTTGAAATATTTAGTTGATATTTTCTGTGACTGTAGTGGTAGGAGATAATGCCACCAACAATACCAAAGGCTATTTGTGTTTCATGGTCTGAAGAATGGGAAGGGAAAGGCCAAGACTTCCTCCTAAATGAATAAAGACATTAAAACCTCTGAGAGGAAAGAAACAGAAGGATCTTGGAGAGCCCCAAGGAAGGAATGGGATGGGACAAGAGCATCACCTCTAAAAGTGATATCTCCATCTGATGGACAGGAGATGTGAGGTGAGGCAGTGAGATTTTCCCCTCCTTCCACCTGAGAGAGAGAAAGCAATTCTAAATTTGATTCTGGGGTGTACAGATTAGGTAGGGTTTGCTTGGATTTTGCTTCATCTGATATCTTTCCAATCCTTTGTAGCCATATTCTAAAACTTAGGTTTTATAAATTAATACCTTTGCTAGCCTGGTTTGTGTTAAAAATCATTTCAGCCATTGATAAGATGGCTGAAATAATACCTGTTCCTACAGGCATGATAATTTTGGGGTGATGGCATTGGAGCAGCACAGCAGAAATGCCCAATTTCCACATTTTGGAGTTGTTTAAGAAATGCCAGACTGTTCTTGTGCTGAGCTCTCAGGGCTGTGCAGGAAACACCTTCCAGGGACCTGCATGAGCCAGGCAAGTTCTTTGACAGCAGCAAAATGTTGAGGAAAACAGCCCTGACATTCTGTGAGTAATGTCCAACATCCATCCCAAAATAGAGTTTGGGTGGTTTTCCACATAAGAAAACTCTGCCATGTTCTTTTCAAGACCACAAAAATACCAAAACCTTCCTGTAATGAATTGGTTCTACTCCAGGTTGTTGCAAATGCAAAATCTTTGCAGAATTTGGTCCTCTTGGATGCTATTTATTAGTCAAAACACAGATATTTAGTGCTGCTTAAGATGCCCTCAGAACATCAGGAAAGACAAAGGTTTTGTTGTCATAGAATACCTGAAGTAGCACTAGATAGAATTTTTGGACAATAAAAGCAAAATCTAGCTATCATTCTTTTAGGCTTCTCTGCCTATTACTTATCTTAGATGTAGGTTTTCAAGGCAGGGCTTGTGTTTGACTCTGGGTACCAAGCAAGAAAATTACCCTTGGATTTTGGGAAGGAAAGGCATTAAGCATATTGCAAAATTTGCGAGTATGTGGGTCTCTTTATTTTCTTATTCTAAATCCAGATAAGAAAAATAGAGAAGAATTGTAAACTCTCTCTCTAAAGTTCAGAGCAGATGAACGGATAGGTTTTAATATTTCAAAAATACCTGAAACATTAAAGAGTTATAAACTCTTCAGAAATACCCCATATGAAATAGTAAGCTTTAGCAAAATGCGCTAAATATTTTAATATGGGAAATAGAACACTTTCATATTTTTACAATTTTAAGCCCCATTTTTTTTAGGATCCCTTAGGAGACAAGACATTCATTGACTATGACACTTCCCCAGATAACAAGGTACCTTTTGAACAAATTGGAACTTAAAAAAGCAAATAGGAAAAAAACCCTTTCTTGATGAACTCCCATTGGTTGGATCCCTGATGTTTAAAGAATACTCTTGAATGCTACAGTGCAGTCTGTTATTTTGTCCACAGACCTTTTCAGCAGTTCATTACAACTGTTTGGTTAGTTCAGGATTAATGAATATTCTTCAAAAATCAGAGCTTTGAGAGAAGCAGATTTAATGTCTGTCATGGTTTAATGCTTAAAGGACTCCTGTCTAAAATTGTTAAACCCAAATATTTCAACTGAATCTGAACTTCAGTGACAGTTCATAATACTTTTTTTTAGCATTTTTTGTCTGAATTTAGAATAAGAAAATATAATTTCTTCTCACAGAATCACACTGAATCACTTAGGTTGGAAAAAAACCTCCAAGATCATCGAGTCCAACCTGTGACTGATCCCCACCATGTCACCCAGACCAAAGCATTGAGTGCCATGTCCAGATGTTCCTTGGACACTTCCAGGGTTGGTGACTCCACCACCTCCCAGGGCATTGCATTCCAGTGCTGAACAAGCATTTCCATGAAAAAAAAAAATATTCCAGATGTTCACACCACTTGCTCTTTAAATAAACCTCAAAATAGCTGCTCCCATTAAAATTTTTACCTAATCCATGGAGGCAGACTTGGACCATATCTCAAGTCATACTCAGCTATAAAGCAAGGTGGGAGATCCCAGTTCCCGCCAGTTCCCCAGGAGCCCTCCAAGCTGTGTCAAAGTTTCATCAAAAACTCTTTCTGGGCTCCAAACTTGTGATATATATTACAATGGAGGTTACATTTTGCTCACACAAAGCAAATGGGGCTGAAGGAGCTGCATGGAAATCTAATTATCCTTGAAAAGGATGCACCTAAAGAGAGGCTGGGTGCACATCAGGAGCCCAAGGATGATGGAATGGTTTAGATTGGAAAAGACCTTAAAGTTAATTTAGTTCCATGGGCAGAGATTCCTCCTGCAATGACACCTCTCAGTAGCTAAAATACACTCAATGTCAGTGGTGCTTAGGCTGCTTTGGGTTATTTTTCCCTCTCCTGTCTTGCAGCCTCTCTGGCCACTCTCTGTGGTCTGACACATTCTTCTGACAACTGCCAAGAGGACAGAGCCACCTTCATTGAATGTGACATCCAAGTCATGGTGGGCACCTCCCAGCAGAGAGGATCTGTGTCTTACTTCTACATCTGTGGGGACACCCTGCCCCAGGGGCATTTTGCTGGACTCCTTGCCAGGTTAGTGCTGCCTCTCCATCCACCCACAATTTACATCCCCCTCCATGGCTTTCCACCTTTTGCAGAGTTGTTCCAAATGATGGACTGAGGAACAAATTCTTAATTCTCACATTGATGCCAATAGAGCTGTTTAGCCTTGAGACCACTAGAGAGCTCCGCTGGGTTGTGGAATTCAATCCCTGTGCCTATCAAAGCATCTCCAGCCCCCCCCCGCTTCCCTCCTGCCTTTTTAAAGTGTTTGAGAGACATCAGAAAATCCATCTCGTAAACAGCCTGCTTTGTTCCTTCTTAGGTTTTAATATTTATCTTCTGATCCAAAGCAACATCTGGTGGATGCCAATGGGAAAAAAGATTAGGCATTATGAAAAGCAGAAGTCTTCTTTTTTTCTGTTGTTTTTTTCTTTTTTTTTTCCTTCTTTTTTTTTTTTCTTTTTTTTTTTCCTGCCCCCCCCCCCACCACCTTTGCCTTTCTCTAAGCACTCTAATGAGTAAAATGTCATTGAGTAAATTGAGCAGGGTGTGCAAGGGTGCTTATGCTTTGCAAATCCAAGGCCAAGCTATCCCGGAGTATAACTTGGAACTGTTGTCTTTGATGGAGCAGTGAGGATTTATTCCTGCTGAGCATTTACTTCTAGGAGTAAGTGAGATGTCTGAACTAAGGAATAAACAGGTGAATAATTAAAGGATTTGGTTTGGAAGGGACCTCAAAGGTTATCTTGTTCCAGCCCCATGGGCAAAGACACTTTTCACCATTCCAGGTTGCTCCAAGCCCTGTCTAACCTGGCTTTGGACACTTCCAGGGATCCAGGGGCAGCCACAGCTTCTCTGGGCACCCTGTGCCAGTGCCTCAACACCCCCACATGGAAGAATTTCTTCCTAATCTCTAATCCAAATCTCCCCTCCTCCAATATGGAGCCACTCCCCCTTGTCCTGTCACTCCATGCCCTTCTGAAAAGTTCCTCTCCAGGCTTCTTGTAACTCCCCTTTAGATACTGGAACAAGTCGAACAAAACTTTTTAGAAGTTATTTAGTAAAGAGAGAATTAGAACAGCATTGTAATGCATTGCTCATGATCCGCTGCACGTGGTGAACAAAATTCTGGCTGCTGCATCTTGCCATGGTTCAAGTATTTCAATGAAGTTGCAGAGATTTGATCCTCATCCTGACCTGGTCCTTGCATCATACCTGGTGTTGATTCACCAGAGGGAGCTCTGGATAACCTGAATTGGGAAAAAAACCCCAAAAACCCCAACTGTCATTTACTGTATAAAAATATAAAAATAGGAGTTTCCAACTAAAATTAATTTTTAAAAAAGTTTACACAGCTGTGACACCTCTCTGTGGGTCTGTCACTTCTTTCTTACCAGTTTTTAAAATTGGATCTAGATTTTATCAGGCCTGGACTTTTAAAGAACATTCTTCCCAGTTTTGAGAAAATCAGTGGTAGGCAGAAAGAAATTATTTTCCTGCTGAGGAGACAGAGGGCAGAATTCTGCCCTGATCTTTACAACTGGCCATGTGTCCAAAGCCACACTATGCATTGGTAATATCCTGTAAGGTCCCAGGAGATGGGGAGAACAGATCTTTTGAAGAACACAAAAGTAAGGAGACTTAGAAGGGGGGGAAAGAAAGTGAAATTGAAATAATATAATCAGTTCTACTGCTCCCAGAATGACTTGTTTCCCATCAAGAAACTCCAGGAGCATTGCCTTGTCTGGTTGAACTTTGCTTTGCTTTTCCTCACATCAGTGTAACCCCAATCCAGAAAACCAACAAACTTGAGAGGAACAGAACAACCCAATATGTATTTCTTTTTTGCTTGTTTTTGCCTGGATATCAAAATTGTGCTCTGTTCTTCACTGATAAAAAAATGCATCTTCAATGACATGATGATGATGATGATAATAATAATAATAATATCCTATAATGACTTTTTTTCTTTCTCCTTTTTTTGGTTTGGGCTTCCACTGTGCAGAAAGTCACAAAGTCATTTTACTGACTGTTTGCTTATTATTTTCACTGTGTTTTTTAGTCCAATTTAACTGTGAATGCCCCAGAGACAGAATTTATTATTCCTCCTGGGAATCCTATCAGGGAGGGATTTCTGAATCAAATCAATCAACTTTTTTTACCTACTATTTTTCTATTTTTCCCATTTTTTCGAAATCCTTCTTATTGTCTTAACTTTTCACCCTATTGTGCTTATGCTTATCTTTTAGTTGAAAATTAAGACTTGGGCTGATTTTTTTCTAGTGAGATTATCTCTAAATTAAAAGGAAGTTTATTCCTTGCTAAAGGAAAGTAGGGGCAAAGGTTGTTTTCAAAAAGGTTTCCTGATTTGAGAAATCTTAGAAGAAATAGAAGGAAAAAAACTGAGATGTTGAATCACACAAATTAACTTATTTCAGAACTTCTGAAAATTGTTTTCCACATTTCAGTTCAGAAAAATATTTAATTTTAAAGTATTAATGGAATTTGCAGGAAAGTCTTAGAAAATTTAAATGTTTCCACCAAAAAAGAACTATTTTGAGGATTCGAGATATAATACTTATTGCTTGCTTTAATTAATAATAGTAAATAATAATAATAAAAAATATGTATAAATTTTAGTTCTGTGCAAATGCTCAAGGTTAAGATATTTGTCCCAGGTTGGGGACAAAACTACTGAAGTAATTCCTGGTTTAAGTGCACATTGAATTTCTCCTGGTTTTCTTACTAATTTTATAGAATCACAGAATAGCTTGGGTTTGAAAGGACCTTAAATCTCATCTCATTCCACCCCCTGCCATGAGCAGGGACAGCTTCCACTATCCCAGATTGCTTCAAGCCACATCCAGCCTGGCCTTGGACACTTTCAGTGTTGGGGCAGCCACCTGAACAATGTTTTTCAGTGGTTTAAATAAATATTTTCTTTATGTAGTTTGAACCACAGCCCATCCTTTATCAGCTCATAATGGCAAAATCATTTTCCTTAAAAGAGTTGTAGGTTTTGCCATTAACAACACTTGTATCAAAGTACATTCCTGAATTCCATTTAACAATTCACTCATTTTCTTGCATTTCCTTTAAACATTGCAATTTGTTAACAGTATTTTAGTATGTGCTTGCATGAGATCAGAAAGGAACTGATTCTTCTTACAAGCAAAGCATATTTACTTTTTGAAAAAAAAAAAAAAAACCAACAAAAAAAACCCCTGTGAAAACCACTCAAAGGTCCTTGTATTGACTTGGATGTCTGGGAAATTGTGTCCATGCCCTGTATCCAGCTGACCACCACCCCCTTCTGCCTTTAAAACTGTTGGTTATTTAAAAGATGCAATTTTTTCTTGGAGCTTTTAAAAGTACTTTGCAGTCTTGAAAGACAGCCCAGTCCACTGAATTATTGTACAGGACAAGATCAATTCTCAAAGTGTTGCTATCAAAAGCAAGAACAGTTCCCCAAGGCTGGCTTTTGATTATTGACACAGAAGAGGTAAAAGTTTATTTAAATATAAAAATAAAAAAAATTGTTGTTAAAAGGGTTCAGCAACTTGCAAAGGCTTTTTTTTTTTTTTTTTTTTTTTTTTTTTTTTTTTTTTTTTTTTTTTTTTTTTGTGATTTCTGATGTGGCTGATTCCTTTACCACTTTAACCAACAAACAGCTCCTAAATGCAGGTCAGAGCAGGGCTTTGTTTGCAGAGTGAGCTGCTGCATCCAGCAGGGAATTTTTAAATCGTCAGGGTCATCAAACCACTCTGATCATCACCCTCCCAACAAAGCTCTGACCCTTGGCTTTCCAATTGGGTCAATTCTGGAAGAGCTTTGGGCTAAGGAGGTTCTTCACCTCCTCTACTCCTCTCTCATGAGACCCCCCTCTGGAACAGTGTCCAGCTTTGGGGTCCCCAGCACAGGAAGGGTTTGGAGATGTTGGAGCAAATCCAGAGGAAGCAGGATGAAGATCACAGGGATGGAGCAGCTCTGCTGTGAGGAAAGGCTGGAAAAACTTGGATTGCAACACCTTTCAATGCCATGAGATTTGGAGAGGGACTCTGGACAAGTGCCTGGAGCAAAAGGGGAATGGCTTCAAACTGATAGAAGGTAGATTTTGAAAATTATTAGGAAGGGATTGTTCCCTGTGAGGGTGGGGAGGTCCTGGCACAGGGTGCCCAGAGAAATTGTGGCTGCCCCTGGATCCCTGGAAGTGTCCAAGGCCAACTTGGATGGGGCTTGGAGCAACCTAGGATAGTGGAAGGTGTCCCTGCCCATGGCAGGGGGATGGAACTGGATGAGCTTTAAAGTCCTTCCCATCCAAACCATTCTGGGGTTCTAATCCCAAAGACACTTTACCAAAATCCTGTCATATGGGATTTTCAGGAACCTGAAGGCCTCTTAATATCCTGATCCTGCCTATCTGATCCTCTGTTTTGTTGAGTAAATAACACTGAACTCTGTCCTTTCTTTGCTATTCAGAAAAGCTGTGAAATTTCTGGGCTGCGTTGCTGGTTGTTGTGCTGGTGTTGCTCTAACTCCTTTCTCCTCACCTTCCCACAACTTGCCTGTGTGAATCTGATGGTGGGGTGGGGAGGAGAGGAAGAAATAGCAATGGCCAAGAGTCACAGAATTAGTTTGGAAAAGACCTCTGGGATCATCAAGTCCAGCCATTAACCCAGCACCACACTTTGCTCACCACCAAACCATATGTTGAATCCTATAGCTCCCCACAATGAAACACTACCAAAATCAGCAATTGTCAGCAGCAGAACCAAGGAAAAAAAGTGTTTCTCTCCTGCCACGTTTTCTATTTCTTCTTCCCCCTGTGCAAGGGGAGGCTTTAGAGCAAATGTCTGCTGGTATAACTGGCACATATATCGAATCTGCTTAGTCTGGGCTGTTAAGTAAGTTTAATTAATTTACTAAGTTAATGTTCCAATGTTAGCAACAAAGCATCATTGCAATCAGCTGGGTAGCAGGAATTGGAACCCCTAAATGAGCTCATTTTTTCACAGTTGGAATTAGGGACCAGTTAGCCAGTTGTGTGGTTTTTCCAATTTCTCCCCTTGCCCTAGGGGAGTTGCAAGTTATTCATTCCCCATTGCTAAGTGTGAGTAAGATGGGGAGGGGGGAGACACAAACAAACCCTACTCCTTGTAGGAGTCCATCTTTGCTCCCAACACTGCTGATTCCTTCCCTGTTGTCTGCACTTATCTGCCTGCCTTGGTCCTAGAATGGCATTTGTTCCTGTTTGTGATGGTTTGGGGAAGGAGAAAAGCATCACTGAGAGATATTTACTGCATGTGTTTTCATCCTGAGTGTGTGCAGATAAAGGGGGGAAAAACAAATAAACAATAAAAGAATGGAAACAAAATTACCGAAATTTGCAAAGTTTGACAAATGGTGGCCAGGAGTTGCCACAAGCTAATGGCTTTCAATGATTAATAAGAGTAAAAATAATTGCATTTCATTAAGATTGATGACACCCCATTTAACCTCCCTTCTCGTTTCAGCCCTAAAGTGGAAAGAGATGAAGTTCTCATCTATAATAGCTCCTGTAACATTACCATGGAAACTGAGGCAGAGATGGAGTGTGAGGGAGCTAATCAGCCAATTACTGCCAAGATTACTGAGATATGGAAAAACTGGGGCCAGAACACTCAGGTATAATCAAATCTTTTTTACAGACTGATTCAAACAGCTTAAAATTAAATTTGTAATATTGTGTACATTTAAAGGGGGGCAAGAAAAAAAACAATTTAGGCTGAGCAGCAGCAATATATAATATTAAATGCTTTCCAACTTTGAATAGCAGTTCTAATGCAGCACAGCTGAATTAATGGTTAACTATGGCTAATCATGTCTTTTATGAGACATAAATGAGCTTTACCTTATTTTCTGAGCAATCTATGTATTTTTTAACACTCTCTCCCTGCTTTTTTTTTTAATATAAATTCAATTTTCTTCTAAAAGTGTTATTTTCTGTTAATCAGAAATCTTAGCCATGAGGTACAGTTTCAGCTCTCTGGCAAAGACTTAGCATTCAGTGCAGCCTTGGTTATATTTGATTTTTACTGCTTTTCAGTAGCTGAAGGAAAATGGGACAGTCTCCCCAGTGCTATCTGTGGTATTGCAAGAAAATAAGACATATGCCAAGAGTTCATGACAAAAAAGCCATAATCCTGAACCAGCATAAAGTTTAAGAATTGATACATAAAAATGTCATTGCTAACCTGAAATATACTGTTAGAGTTCTCACAGTTTTGCAGAGGGGGTGTTTAGCCACTTGTAAGAAGAAATTTAGAAGGGTTGGATATTTGTTGGACACCAGTTATCCGTTCTTCATTCTCCTTTCCTAAAGGAGCAGCTCCTGAGATGTGGAGGAGATCTCCTGAATACAGGAACGTCTGAGTGGGGATAGTTACACACCTGACTTAGGATAAAAATAAAACGCTATTTCTAATCTATTAAACAAAACTTTCACACAGTCTTTTAGCACAATTTAGGAAAATGAAGTTAATTTGCTCAGGATCAATGTTAAAGGTACCACAGTAATTTTTAACTCTATCTGCAAAGAGATTTCCTGTATTTAAGGACTTTAAATTTACTTTGCCATCCCAAAAAGTAGCTGCATTATCCTGGTAGAATAATTTTGATGCATCTTTGCATCAAAATGTGTTGAATTCTGTACTTAGTTTCAAATAGCTGATCTAATCTATATTTAGGAGTCTCTGAATACTTGCAAATCTACCTTACATGAATATTACTATTGCAGTGGAGTATCCTAAATTACAATTCTTTTTTCTGTTCCAAACCTGTCCTCAGTCTGTAAAGGAATGTCAGATGTAGAATTTACCTATTAAGGTACATTTGCTCATCAGTCTTGTTAGTTATGGAACCTAAAACATGCCCAGCTAAGGAGAAATACCAAAATTGCAGGAGTGAAGTACCCAGACAAGTGTGAGATCAAATGGTAACTCCTCCTTACATTCCTGTTTTCCTTCCCAAATGGGATAAGGGCATCTCTAGAGACCCAGAGCCTGGGCTGCAGCACGGAGGGATCTTCCCCTCTGCTGTCTGTGATCTGGCAGCTCAGCTGTGGCACAGCTCCTGCAGGATGACAGGTTGTCCTGTGGCTCAGGTGGGAGCAGGAAGAGGAAGAGGCCGTGAGGTTTGTTCCTGCTGTGATTTTTCTGCTCAGAGTAGGGAAAACCAAGGAAGTCCTGAGTGTCCTGAATGAACAAATTCATTCAGAGCAGGATGAAAACAGCAGCACTTTAGATCTGGGATTTGCTGTTGCTTAATGAACCCAGTGGGCATTTGGAATCATTTTATCCCTCTTCCCAAAACTGGCTTGGGTGAGAAGAGGTGGATGGGTGGGGAGTTCAGATAAATGGCTTCAATTTTGGTCCCTTTCTGGCTGACAGCATCCCGGTAAGATTTATGACCTGGTGCAGCGCATGCATGCTTCACTGTGGAGGTTTAAATCATGTCATGTGAACTGGCCTTACCTTTCCAGTGGAAAAAATGGTCCCCAGGTCCAGCACTAAGCAGTGCAATGCATTAATAGCACCACGTGCCTTAGGATAATGGTGCTATTAGCAGGCAGCACAACTCTGTGTACAAGTAATGGGGCTGCATCTCTTTATAATAACATCTGGCACTTCTCTTGCATGCTCATGCAAGGATCTCAAAGCATTCCATAAAAAAGCAGCCTGATCTTGTTCTCAGCACAGATACATTGCTCAGTGGTTTGTTTTCTGCTTCCTCTGCTGCCAGCTGAAGGATGCCCAGGCAGGCCAAGAACTCACCCAGCTGGGTGCTATGGGAGAATTGGTTCAGAGGTGATTTGGTGATGGTGATGGAGCAGGATTAGCTCCAGGATGGCACTGGAAGTGAAAAGGTAAAAAGACTGACAGAGGCTTTTGGCATTGAATGAATGGGCACTGGCAAGAAGAGAGAACAGCCTTGGTTGAGAGCAGAAAATTACAAAGAAATAAAATGTAAAATATTGGTTCTGGGAACTTGAACCTGAGAGGTACAAATGGTGACATCACCAAACCTGCTAGAGTTCAAGCAACATTTGGACAACATTCTTAGGCACAGATTAGGGCTCCTAGAGTTGTTCTCTGCAGAGCCAGGAGCTGGCCTTGATGATCCTGATGTGTTTCTTGAAACTCAGGGTATTCTACAATATGCCCACTATTCTGTGACACAGCTTTTAGGATATTTTTTAATCAGTTTTATTATTTAAACAACTGCATTTTCTGGTAGGTGCTGCAAAATCCATCACTCAATTTTTGTCCTTTCAACTCTGATCTCTGAGCTGTTGCTTGCATGAATCATAGAATCCTGAATATTGGAAAAGACCTCCAGGAACATCAGGTGCATGGTTACAATCAGGGATGGGCTCAGATCTGAATCTAGAGGACTCCCAGAATTTCATGGGGTTTCAAGGTGCTACCTGGAGATCTGTGATTTTCATGGCAGACTCCATGAAATTTCAGTTCCATTTGGATTTTTCCTTATGTCTGGTCTGTGTCCCACCACCCCCCCCAGAGAATAATTTTTATGATTTTCATTAGAAACTTATTTAAGCTCTCGCCTCACTTTGTGTTTGAAGTATTTTGCCCTGTATGACTTAATTAGGTCACAAGAAGTAAGCAGCAGGCCTCCGCCCCACTATTGCATTCAGCATCATTAGTGTTTGTAACTTGCCATGCTATTATCTGAGTTGCACAATTATTTTTATTTCAGTATATAATGCAATTTAGCCTACTGAAAAGAGAGGGAGGGCACAAAAACCCCCAGCACTGATTGTATATCCCACAGGACTTAATTAGTTCACAGCTTCAAGAATGCACTGGATAATGGGAAGACATGAATTAAATAATAAAAGGCAAAAGAAAAGTTCTAATGCTCACTCAGTACCTGTCCACTTCCACCTTGGCTGCATAATGAGATGTCAGCTCTGGTGACACTGATGAGATGTGCAAAACACCCCAAAAACACAAGGAGAGGATGCTCACGGGAGGGTTTGACCAGGCTGGGATGGCTCTGAACCCATTATGCTTAGTGAGCCTTCCCATTATTATTTCAGATCACTGGACCAGCTAATCATGATGCAAACATGTTGCTGGAGCAGCTCGTCCCTGTTCCCACTCCCCCTCCTCTGCTGGCCCACATGGCTGATGGAATATTTGGCAGAGGGCTGATTACCACGTATTTAGTCAGCCCTAGGGAAGCTGAACTGGTATCCCAGGGAATTCCCTGCAACCCAACCCTCAAGGGGTCCCTGTTGAGGGATAGGAGGTTAATAAAAAAAAAAATAACTTCCCAGCTAAAAATGCCATCCTGGATTATGGCTCTGCCTGGGTGTGCTGCGCTGCCTTGAGTTTGTTTTTAATAGGTGTTGAGATTTAAGGGGTGGCTTAGAGTATCAAGGATCTGTAAATTCTTAACTTGGTGACTGATGCAGGGATAACTGTTTTGTTCACTTCTCATGAAAGAAAAAATACCCCCCCACACACAAAGTCTGTGTCTGAGATATGTACAGTCACTTCAAAAATCCTTTCTGTTCAATTTCCACTTAATATAACCAGGACTAGATCATCAAATCCCTCTGATTCCTCTGCAGATCTTAGAATCATTCCTTTCCTTCTTTTTTAGCCTTTTTTTCCCCCTACTTACCATCTCTCTTGATGCCAAAGTATTTGGAGGTGAGGGAAGCAATGAAATGGTTTCATCAGGTGGAGATATTTGCTGGTTTACAAAGGTGGCAAAACCTTGGCAGCTTTCAGGGAGCATGGAAAGGTCCCTGGAAGCCCAAAAAGGGCACAAAGGACTCTCATTTTATTACTTATGCAAGGTCAGATTTGTTTGGGTTGGAAGGGACATTAAAGATCAACTCATTCCAACCCCTTGCCATGGGCAGGGACAACTCTTGAGCATGTTCTCCATCTGTGAGGGTTACAAGTGATGGGAATTGACTCTTATTCTCATTTTAGAGCTGTCCTCATGTTGTGTGGATGTTTGATGGGTGCATTTTTGAGGGTGAAGGGCTCATACTTGGCAGTCCATGAGTAAAACCACCACCACAGGCTGAGGGTAATTAGGCAGGGCAGGGATCATAGAGTCACAGAAAGGTTTGTGTTGGAAAGGATCTTAAAAAGGTCATCTAGTCCCGATCCCCCTGCCATGAGCAGGGACACCTTCCAGTAAACCAGGTCACTCCAAGCCCCATCCAGTCTGGTCTTGAACACTGCCAGGAATGGGGAAGGAACAGAGCAGATTCCAGTTTGATACCATATCAAATATCCAAATTTGTTTGGAGGGGGCTAATAAAATAGCTGTCCTGTTTTATTCTCTTCTCCGCTTGAAGAAGAATTATGCTGCAATAGATATTTAATTCCTGTGTATCCATTTAGAGTACAAAACCAGAACCTCTTATCTGGCCTGAGGATCACAACTTGCTGAGATTTGGGAGTAGTTTCATTGGATTTATTAACAAGCATCCTGATAGAACCTGACTTTATGTTGTCTTGGGCTGTGAATAGAGTTCCTAGGTCCTTTGGAACTGCAACCAGCCAAAAATAGCCATGTCACACAGGATGGGACATCAGAAGTAGGACTGAAACTCTTCTACAGTATTTTGTGTGTATTTTCATAAATATGCACTTTTAACAGCCCAGCAAGCCCACCCTTGCATTTCCAAATTCCCTGTTCTCTTAATATCTTGGCCACAGTGTTATTTTCAGAAGGAGGTGGGGAGAGCAATAAAACCCACCAGACCCTCACAGAAAAGAAGTGGAACAGTCCATAAAAAAAACTAATAAAAATAAAGCCACAAAACCAGTCTTGGGGTGTGGGGGCTGCTGGAGCAGAGAGGTACCATCTGCAAGGTTGTTAAGTTGTAGAGAACCAAGATGGGCTCCCCAGTAACCACAGGCAATGTGAGGAGATAAATGGTTGACCCGAGCCCGTGTCAGGCAAGGATTGATGCCACTATCAGCCCCAGTGCCTTTGCAATGATTTTTTAAAAAATCTCTGATAGAGTGTGTTATCTAGTTACTGGCACGAGGGCAATGGCCTGGAGGCAGTGGGGAGGAGGGGGGGAGGAAGAAGGAAAGGAGGAGAGAGAGAGAGAGAAAGGAAAAGAAAAGGTCATTCCAGGAGGACAATCTCTGTTGGACTAAATGAGAAAATAAGGGCCTTGCTCTGGAAGGGGAGAAGGGGAAAGTAAATAAATAAACAATAGGGAAAAAGGGGGCTGCTAGGTGTGTGAGGAAAGGATAAGCAAAATTGCTTCTCTTCTTTGTTTTCCTTTTTTTTTTTTTTTTTTTTTTTTTTTTTTTTTTTTTTTTTTTTTTTTTTTTTTTTTTTTTTTTTTTTTTTTTTTTTTTTTCTTTCTTTTCTTTCTTTTCCCCCCCTTTCCTTTTAATAGGTTCAGCCTTGGGCAGCAATGGGAAATTTAGGATTTGGGCTTGTGGTGTGGTTTTATTTTCCTTTAACTTTTTGCTTCCTGATTTGAGGTTTAACTGTTTCCTCTCTGCTGTCAGATGAAAAATGAAAGACTAAACTTTCTCTTCCCCCCCTCCACATTGTAAAACCTTTTTCTTTATATTTTCGATCCCACCTTCTTTCTAATGTCTCTGAGGAGATTACTTCCTGAATTGTAAGTGGTTTCCAGGGAACACTTCTCCCCACTGCTCACAGAGATGCACTGAGAGGAGCATTGGAAGCTATCCCCAGCATATCCTAGGGTGTAATGCCATGATCCCCAGGATGGGATGCCAGTCCCTGTAATCCAAAGCACCTCAAAGCTTTTCCATGTGCATTTAAACAAACCTGTGTGAATCAGAACTGAACATTGCAGAATTTAATGAGAGCTGTTTTCCTTTTCCCACTTCCATTTATCCCTGCTCCCAGGCCTTTAAGAGAAACCAATTTGGAGTGAAAAGCTCCATTTTGGAAGTGCTGCTCCAGGGAACAGAAAGAAAATCTTTCCCTTTCTGCACCAAATGAAGGCTCCAATATAGGTCAGGAGGGTGTGGGGAAGCTCCTGAGTGACTGTGGGCTTGTGTCATCTCCATTTGCTCCCAGGTGCTTGCACAGAGAGTTGCTGCCACTTTTCTGTTTAATTATGACAGAAACTCTAATTTACTCCTTCAGCAATTCAGCATTTGGGCAGGGGAAGGATTGTCTGTGTTTGGAACCATGGCTTTGGTTCTCCATCTGTGGGACTTGATCTCAACAATGGTTGGGGTTGGAAAGGTCTTTAAAGATGTAGATCCACTAAATAGGGTATCTCAAAGTCCTCTTCAAGCTGGCTTTGTCTCCTTGGGGGAAGGGAGTGGGAATTTTGGATGCCTGGGACTGTGCTGGGGTGTCCAGCTTTGGGCTCTGGGTGAAATTGGAGGAAGCCTTGTGCCTTCTCCATCTGCCCATCTTGAATTAAATGGGAAAAGGGCTGAGCAACCTAGAAACACACCTAGCCCAGGCTTGTCTGCATTGGAACATGTCTTAACATATCTGATGGTCTTGTGTCATAGTTGAGATGGAGACGGAGATGATGCAAAGCAACACACTCCATTTTCAGAAGGCTTCAAACAGTTTTGATTTTAGCATGCATGCTTTTTATACATTCTTACAGAGTTCATAAGTTTACACTTATTGGTCATGAGAGACAAACAAAGTGCTTATTGGAATAGGAAGTTGCAGGTTTCTCTTATTTATCCTTCTTTTCTTCTTGGTTTCTATGTCAGCAACCTCGGTAGAAAATTCTTTCAGGGATAAAAATGGATCCTCTTACCAAACTTCTCTCTGGCTCACAGAAGGTCCTGTAAAACCTCTTCCACAGTCTTGTCCTTCATGTAGTGTGACATGGGATAAAGATGTGGCCTTTCAGCCCCTTGTGTCCCTAACAGAGGCCAATGTCACCCTCTGACTCCTGTCCTCTCCCCAGTCCCACCCAGAGCAGCACTGTGGGCTGGATGCTCCACACAGCATTTTCTGTGTACCACAGGCATTGGCTGACCTACAAGTCAGCCAATTCCCAAAAATCCCAAACCTCTTCCCAAATAATTCTGGGGTCTGGCTCAGCACTCAACAAGGACTGGCCGTGTGGTGACCCTCTGCTGAAATCTGGGAGATTTCAGTAGCATTGTCTTGGCCAGAGTGGGATCATTGACTGTTGATTCTTGATGTGGTTGGGCCATGGCTGTAGCTCTAAAGTTCTGAGTCTGGTGCCTGGCCTGTCCTCTGCCCACGAGGGCCAAATCAGGTGTCCCACCCCATCCACAAGAACTGAGAAGAAGCCTTGGATAAAGTGTGGGGGAGGGGATCACAATTACGATTTACTTCTTTGAAAAAAAAGCAACCTGAGGAAAACAAAAGCCTGAAAATTTGGCCTTTTAGCAAACCACTGGTAGTGATGGAGAAAAAATAATTTTGCATCATGATTTCTTCTGTGCACTGAGTTTAGAGTGAAGAATAGAGGAAGGACAAATAGAATTTGTTGTTCAGGGATTCTTAAATTTTTCTTCCCCGGTTTTGTTGCTGTTGGTGCTATCGTGACATTTAGCACAGACTAAAAATGTGTACAGCTAGAGGAAAAAACAAATTTAAAGTAGGGAAATTTCAGTTCAGAGAGCGTTTATTAATAACTTTAAAAAAATTTGCTGCAGGAGGAGGGAAAACCAGAGCTCTTTGCCATGATGAATCTACTCGAGGCATCCCCCTGTCTCTAAGGAAAGGGTTAATGTGATGTGGTTGCCAGTAAAAGCAAGCTGTTTTCCTGATGAGCCTGTAATAGCCGGGTGATAGACTGGCTTAACAACTGCTGGCTAAATGCTGGGTACCACCCCCTGATTGGCAGCTCCCTAAGTGGAAGCCCCTCGTGTCCAATCTGTCCTCGTGAATTGCTGCAGAGCAAAGGACTTCATTAAGGGATCGTAAGGGGACCTCCTAAAAATCAGCAAATAATTACGCTGGGGTAGAGAGGAGGGGACTGAGAGCTCTGTGGTCCCCGTGAAGAAAAGCAGACTGCCAGGGCAGGGAAGCATCAGGTGAAGTGGGTGCTAGGAACACTTACCCCTGAACGCTGGGTCTTCTCAATAAAGCCCAGTTTAGCCCTGTCTATGACTTAAACAAAATATTCTCGGTCAGCTCCCTGGGTGGTGGAGGGCTGGGAGCTGTTAGCTCATATTCAGTTAAATTTCAAATGTCAGAGCTCGTTAGTGGTGATTTTAGCCAAAGACAGTTTGTGAGGAGCTGGGTAAATTTGAACTTCCTCAAATAAAATTGAGGAAAGAGATTGCTGTTTTGCTTATTGATTTATTTTCCTGCTTTCACACATCTTCTCTGGGTTTGGGATTCTGATCAAGGGTCAGGCTCAGCTTCACCTAATTAGGGGTCACAGTGCTCCCTCTTCACACACACTCTCTTGCTCTCTCCTTCTCTAATTCACCTTTATTTGCAGTTTTTCCTCCTTCCTTCACCTGTGTTTGGTGCGTAGAAGATGCAATTTTTGCTTTGTGTTGAGGGGAGCTTTTCCCTGAGCTCACCAGTAAAGCCAGGGGGACAGGCACAGGAAGGCAGCACAGACCATTCTGTGGTAGATTTAGGTAAGATATTTGGGAACAATCCTTTCCTGTGAGGGTGGGGGGACCCTGGCATGGGTTCTTAGAGAAGCTTCGGCTACCCCATCCCTGGGAAATGTTCAACACCAAATTAAATGGGGCTTGGAGCAATCTGGTCTAGTCAAAGGTGTCCTTTTCTCTGGCAGAGTTAGATCTAAATGGTTTTTAAGGCCCTTTCTTGCCCAAACCAGTCTGTGATTGCATGATTCTGTGAAATGAATTGGCTCAGAAGAAGTTGGGCAGTCAGTGTTGTTCTGCAGTGACTTTTTGGGAGCCCTAATGGGGGGAGTCAAGGAATGGAGCCACTGAGCTAAAAATGTTCCTTCAAAGCTGAGATGGCCAGACAGTACTGCAGAAATTGAGTTTTTTTCCATGCTGAAAGTGACTGCTGGTCACTGGCATGGCTCCAAACCATGTGCTCAATTTCAGGTCTGGAGGAAGGAGTTTCTGGTAGGTACATGAAGGTATTGAATACAAGTATCATGGGTGACAATTCTGAGTGAGTTTCTCCAGGTGGTGATAGTTGGCATTTCCATTTTTATCTACACCCTCTTTTGTGTCTGTGCACTAGGATGGTATCCAACTCTCTCCAAAATGAAATTCACCCTTGGAATATTACTCAGCACACATCTGCATCCTTTGGGGTAAGGATGTGCCAGCAGGGACCCTTGGGTAGAAGGACCCTGGGTTTCATATCCTGCCAAAAGATTTACAGGTAGATGAGTGTGTGTGTGTGGGAAGCAGAGAGTGGAGGCCATGGAGTGTGTTATTGCAGGGGATCTGTATTCCCAACAAAGATGAGCTGTTACAGCTCTGTTACAGACAGAGGGATGTCTTTGCAGCTCAAACAGCACCAGTTTGTGCTTTCAACTCAAAGGCTTCTGAGTTCAGAGAACAGTATGTTGGTGAGGAGGTTCTTTCTCATGATAGAATCTCATCTTGTCTTATTTGAATGAAATTTGGGCTAAAATCTCCTGAAATGACAAGAATGGTTACTGTCCCATGATGTCTGTGATGCTCTCTTCAGGGGAGGCATTCTCATTCAGGGCAAGTGGTTCAAAGTGCACTAAATTAACTTCAGCTGCCTTCTGGGTTCTGTTGTGGGGTTGTCTGCACCCCTGAAATCCTCTATTGTGTGCCACTGTGAGCTCAAACTACTCAAAAAAAATTAAAATTAAATAGATGGAAGCACTGTTCCATCGAGAATCAGTTTCTAATTTTAGCTACATAAATAAAATGTATTAAAGTGTACATATCTGCTGCAGACATGTCCTCATTTTGAAGGCGTCTTGTGTTGGGAATGTTCTCCCCTCTTTGTGCAGCTCCTTGCTCAGTAGGTTGGGAAGCTTTATCTGGATTTATCAGAGGTAGAGAGACACCCCTGACTGCAGGAAAATGGCATGGATGTTCCCAGTGTTCTAAATAATACTCAATGATCAAATTCCCATTAGGAATTGGCAAATTCAGCTTGGAGTGACAGGGCAAAGGTGGCTTTGCTGGGGTGTGACATCGTTCTTGCCCCCATAACCTGCTGATACCCTGTTGCTTCTGTGACCTTTTCTGTACCAGTCCCATCTTCACCTTTTTACCTTTGTGGCAGATAAGTGTTTTTGATGATGACAATAAAGATACCACGGAGCACTTTTATTCTTGGTTGCCCCATCTGGGCTGCTCGTTGGATCCGAAGGGCCGGCGCTCCAGTCAGATTGCACTATCAGATGGAGCTGGCTCTATTTCCTGCATTATTCTTCCTGGCTGTACCACATTATGCAATTATGTTTGCATTTAAACCTGAGCACTTACCTGTAATGGTGCTGTGGCTCAGTACACGATACATTAGAGCAGAAGATAATGCACACAGATAGGCTGAGGGCAGCATGTTGTTGATGTGCTAAAGCTAAACAGGACACTGAGTTTGAGAGTGGACTCTGAAAGCTCGCAGCTTGGGAGGAGCTGCTCCAAAAGCTCACATTACTGAAATAACAGCTGTGCAGGGTGAGATTCTCTACCTGAGGGCCAGGTGCAGGATTGATTCCATTGCAGAAGTCAGACACCAGCACTGTTGGTCACTGCCAACTTCTGCCAGGACCAGGAGAGTCTTGGTGGCTGCTGGGAGTCCCAAATCCTGCATCCCTGTGGCACAACGTGAAAGGAAATGATTATTTCAAGGTTTAAAGGAAGCTTAGAGGAAGGCTGGAGAGTAACTTTTTACACATGGAGTAATAAAACAAGGAGTAATTGCCTTAAGCTAATTTTTTTTTTTTTATTAGATATTGTGAAAAAATTCTTTGCTAAAGGATGGCAAGACCCTGGCACAGGTTTCCCAGAGTATCTGTCACTGCTCAATCCCTGGCAGTGTCCAAGGCTGGGTTGGACAGGGCTTAAAGCAACCTGGGATGGTGGAAGGTGTCCCTGCCCATGGCAGGGGGTCGAACAGGATCAGCTTTAAGGACCTTTCCAACTCAAACCTTTCCCATTCTGTGATGAACCTTTGAGAAGTAACTGTGCCTCTGCTGCTGGCCAAGCCCTTTAAACCACATTACACCTGCAATCATCCCTGTGATGCAGTGATAATTATGAATGCTGCTGCTCTGCATCAGATCCTACCCTGGGTAGATGGTCATGCCCAGTAATAAACAATGGCCCTGACTCTTGGGCTGAGGAGGTGTGGATGCAATTAAGGCAGAATCAATGTTTGTCCTTGAATTGTGTGGTTTTTCTGTCAGGTTTCTGTATTTTATGCGTAGAACAGACCAAGCTGTAGCTTAAACACAGTTTGCCCTCTTCCAAGCACTTTTCAGTCTTTGCCTGGTAAATCACTCTGAACCCCTGCAAGCCAGGTTTGCTGTGGACATGGTTTGTGTATCAACTCACCTGTTCTCCCTATGCTTCCGTGGGAGCTGTGGGAAGCTCCGAGGCTGGATCCCACACTGGTGCTCTGACCTTCACAGCTGACCTGGGACTCTTGCAAGGGGCTCTAAAACACAAGGAGTTCCACCTCAAATTGAGGAAGAACTGCTTTACACTGAGGGTATCAGAGCACTGGAACAGCTGCTCAGGGAGAGCATGGAGTTCCCTCTCTGGAGGCATCCCAAAACCCACCTGGAGATGTTCCTGTGTCACCTGCTCTGGGTGACCCTGCCTTGGCAGGGGGTAGGAATAGATGATTGCTCTCCAGAGGTCCCTTCCATCCCAAAAATCTCTGTTATTCTGTTCCTCTTCCTGCATGATCCAAAAAAACATCAGCAGTTCTCTCTGGCACTGTTGGGGTGGATGAGTCTCACTCCTCCCACCCCATTTACTGTAGCACCCATTCAGAAATCCTGCTTGCTGACACATAAGGACATAATTTGCTTACTTTTCCTGCAGGTGGTCGGCAAATTGTTGAGCTAATCTTTGCATTTGCAATATTTGCTCTAAGATTAGTAAGTGTAAGTCAAGCTCATTCAATTGGGAGACAACATTTGCACAGTGCAAAGGCTGACACAGTCACCAGCCTTGGTTATCCTGCTTGTGTAAACAACTTGATGCTGTAATTTTCTCATTACCATTAAATTGCTGTTTTTAATTTGCCTCAGAAACCTCCATACTTTGAGAAATGGCTGGTTTAGAAAGATATTTAAATTACGTTTGCCCTTTAACAGTGCTATGGAAAGGAAAACCCAGTGCTGTTGTATCTAAACTGGAAGATTGCACTGAATTCCTCAATGTGTTTCCACTCAGGATTTTCAGCAAGTTGGGCTTTAAATTCTGCACTAGGATAGTTAATTTGCAATATAATAAATAGAATAGAATAATAGAAAATATATGATAAAATAATATAAATATAAATAAATATAAAAATGCATGGAATAGAATAGAATATCAGTCTGTATATCATGAATATATGATACAAATAAACTGAATATCATGCTGTAAATTAACATCGTGAAGATTCTTGTGAATTAACAAGGAGTTACAAAGAAATACACATTCTGTCAAACAAAGTTCTTCATGTGCTCCAAAAAAATCCC